CATTTAACTCTGCATTTGACGATTTATATGTAAAATATTTGTTCAACTTCAGGGTAAAAACAACAACAACAATCCATCATAATGAAAAAATTAAAGGTGCCAGATTAGAAATCGGTGGTCTAATGCTGCATTCCAGTTTTACTGAATTTCCAACCTTCAAAATCGGAATTTTCACCTTTAAGCACCCTAAAGTCGGAATTCCAAGTTGGACTGTCGGAGCAACGCAACCCTACACGACGTCATCATTTCAAGATGGCTGCTACTGGCATCAAACATAGGTAAAACTTTGTTTTTTTTACACATACTAGCAATGCTGTAGTATTTATTTCACATTTAGTCAGTCGTACATGTAGTACTGGTCAATGTGTATTAAATTATATATTAAATTACAAACCGGATTCCAAAAAAGTTGGGACACTAAACAAACTGTGAATAAAAACTGAATGCAATGATGTGGAGGTGCCAACATCTAATATTTTATTCAGAATAGAACACAAATCACAGATCAAAAGTTTAAACTGAGAGAATGTTTCATTTTAAGGGAAAAATCTGTTGTTTCCAAATTTCATGGCGTCAACAAATCCCAAAAAAGTTGGGACAAGTCCATTTTTACCACTGTGTGGCATCCCCCCTTCTTCTTACAACACTCAACAGACGTCTGGGGACAGAGGAGACCAGTTTCTCCAGTTTAGAAATAGGAATGCTCTCCCATTCATGTCTAATACAGGCCTCTAACTGTTCAATCGTCTTGGGCCTTCTTTGTCGCACCTTCCTCTTTATGATGCGCCAAATGTTCTCTATAGGTGAAAGATCTGGACTGCAGGCTGGCCATTTCAGTACCCGGATCCTTCTCCTACGTAGCCATGATGTTGTGATTGCTGCAGAATGTGGTCTGGCATTATCGTGTTGAAAAATGCAGGGTCTTCCCTGAAAGAGATGACGTCTAGATGGGAGCATATGTTGTTCTAGAACCTGAACATAGTTCTCTGCATTAATGGTGCCTTTCCAGACATGCAAGCTGCCCATGCCACAAGCGCTCATGCAACCCCATACCATCAGTGATGCAGGCTTCTGAACGGAGCGTTGATAACAACTTGGGCTATCCTTGTCCTCTCTGGTCCGGATGACATGGCGTCCCAGTGTTCCATAAAGAACTTCAAAT